AAAATTACTTAAATAAATGAATGTTACTCCTATTAGAATTTACTCTGAATGTTACTTGTTAAAAATAATAAAAGTGTGAGAGCGGATGTTCCACTTTTTTTATCTACATCTATCCTCTATTACAAATCAAAATGCAGATGCGTTGTCACCCATGTGGACTAAGAGATGGAATGCCTCATTTCCAGTAAAAAGGGTCTCCGGTTCTCTACACTCACCATACAAAACACAGTAGCGTTAAGCTGCTATTTTACGTTGGTATTCTGTGAGAGCGTGGTCCTTCCCCGGTCGATCCGACCATTCGTGCTACAACTATACTGCTAATATAGCTGCGGCATGACTCTACCACGTAAACATGGCTATACCACGTAAAAATATGGTTGAAAAGAAGTAATCTCGACAATACTTAATCACGACTTGCACAAAACGCTCGTTTAAAAGTTAGTTCACTTACGTTATGCATCTTCTCCAATAGCCTCTTCTATTCTACTGTTAAACAGACGATCTCCGCGAGGGAGGAGTTTACAGCCACGCTTGGTAAGCCGATCGTTGATTGCAGTACCCAATGTCTTGCACCTTTCAAGCTACTGGTTATTTTATGTCTAGGACAGTGATTCCCGACCAGTGGTCCACAAGAGATTAAATATGGTCCGCGAAAGATTTAAATATTTTACCTACCTATTCGTTTTAAATAACACATTTATTATTATTTCGTTACGCGGGCAGTGCACTAGCCTACACCTGCCTACTAGATTTTACAATAAATACACAAATAATATTGTTAATTAATGTTTCTTTTCAGTTTATTATATGATAATGTTAAAAGTTGAGATTATAATTTTTGGTTACATTAAAACAGTTTTTTTCTTTTACCTTGTGGTCCCTGCTAAGTACACAAAATCATAGTGATCCCTATCATATCCCAAAAAAAGGTTGCGAAGCCCTGGTCTAGCGTAAACATGATTACTCCACCTTCTATAAGCCATGTTATTTTACTGATATTTCCCATAGTTACATCTTACGACACCCACGGGAGGAAGTGTTGTGATGGAATTTAACATCACATCACCACACGGCACTACTTAGTATAAAATAAGGTAAAATTAAAGTTTCCGTGTTCCACGCTTTATTACAATAAAATTAATTTTTATGTTAATCACTATTTTCATTATCTACTTTTTAGTTCACGCGTGTTTTTTTAAGTTTTTTATACTAAAATTTATTTTAAATTTTTTAGTGCGGCTAACTACAAAAGCGTGTTTTTTTTGGAATGTAGTTCTTTTACGCGGCTTACAGTATTTACAGATTGAACTGTAAGTAATCGTAGTTGTTTTATGAATTATTCGCAAATCCTGAGGATCCTGGTAAGAATAATGGGAGAAACTAAATTAAATAATTGCATTGTCATCAGTCATGTGTGCGAAGTTTCAAATCAATCTACCGATGTTTTGAAGGGGATGAAAACCACATTAGAAAATTCCGTTACATAGATACATACCAAGCTAAGAAAAGCGTGTTAAATAAAACTAGATTTTTCTTCACTGCCAAGCACATCATAAGTGGTAGAGTCACGTTGCAGTTACTTCGTGGCTGTTGTACAAACAGGTCGCCTTGACCTAGAAGGGACCATGCTCTCACAGAAGGCCAGCGTCAAATAGCAGAATCTTTTTACTGATAACGAGGCATTCCATATAAGTCTTTTTTGTACGTGGTAGAGCCATGCTGCAGCTATATTAGTAGTATAGTTGTAGCACGAATGGGTCGGCTCGACCGGGGAAGGACCACGCTCTCACAGAATACCAGCGTAAAATAGCAGCTTAACACTGCTGTGTTTCGTATGGTGAGTGTAGAGAACCGGGGACCCTTTTTACTGGAAAAGAGGCATTCCATCTTAGTCCTCACGGGTGACAACGCATCTGCAGTTTTTCCCAAACGAGGATAGATGTAGATGTCTATGGGCCACAGCAACCACTTACCATCAGGTGGACTGTGTGCTCGTTTGTCACCCTATCCTATAAAAAAAAGTCCTTAGGTGTATTCTTAATCGAGGTTGGGTATAGATATCCAGGGGCCACAGTATCCACTTACCATCAGGTGGAATTTGTGCTCTTTTATCACTATAATTCTATAAAAAAACTTAATAAATCAGCACTTAGAATTGTAATTAACAATTACACTACTGCCGGCGGGGATCGAACGCGAGTTGCTCGCGTGAAATTTACAACGATCGCTTAGCTTCTGGACTATCATAACACCTTTCAGTAAAGTCTCATTTATAGCCCCGTGTCACACAACGTAAACTTCAATAATTGTGCTATTTCCGATAAACTCGAACGAAATTAGAAAACTTTTAATGGTATGTTTGTTGTCACGACACTAAAAAAACTAACCAGTCCTACAATAGTCGCATATGATGTGTAGTATTTGACATCTTACCGTAGTAATTAACATCATACCTCGAAAAAAGCTATTTGTTTTTTTTTAAAATCAAAATGAAGGATATCACTTGAGCAGCGACAGAAATTAACTTCAAAATTTATAAAAGCCAAATACTGAATTATTTATTCGAATAATTATTAATTATTACTCACTTGCATTTTTTATCAATGATTTGCACTTTTTTCAGACACTTATTATCAACAGTAAATACATTTATTAATATAGTTTACACATATAAATTAGTTTATACAACATCACAATTTACTACCACCGTGCACGCTCCTTGGTCAAAGCAAACGGCGCGAACTTACCCGGCTTCCAGTTACACACTTCCGTCCCTTTCATCACTTCTACAGATCGCGGGAAAGCGATAGGAAAGATGTTACACATAAAAAATTTAAAGTTATTTTTAAATTAATAATAGCTTTATCATTATCATCATAACAGCCCTTCACGAGTCCTCTTCTAAATATGATTCTACAAGGAAAGCTAGAAAGGTCGGTCCTGAACCACCTGTTTTCATCGAATTCATACAAATTTTGTACGTGGTAGAGCCATGCTGCAGCTATATTAATAGTATAGTTGTAGCACGAATGGTTCGGCTCGACCGGGGAAGGACCACGCTCTCACATAATACCAGCGTAAAATAGCAGCTTAATGGTGCTTTGATTTGTATGGTGAGTGTAGAGAACCGGAGACCCATTTCTCTGGAAAAGAGGCATTCTATCTTAGTCCTTACGGCTAATAACGCATCTGCATTTTAATTCGCCAACGAAGATAGATGTAGATGTCTATGGGCCACAGCAACCACTTACTATCAGGTGGACTGTGTGCCCCTTATTCTATAAAAAAGGCGCTTCATGTAGTGAGTCTATTATACTCTCTATAATCATCATCATCATTGCACCCTACTGTTGAACATAGGCTGAACCTAAGGAATGCCACAAAGCACGGTCCTAAGCCCCATACTATTGACTTTCTGCATTACTTACCACGTCGTTACTCTTAATGTAATATATTTATTGTACGGAAATAAAAATATTCAGTATAGTAAGCTCAACTCATATCTTATTTTCCTTAAAGTGGCGGTATAAGACAATCCATTTCCTCATATATCATCCCGTGTGTGTCTTAAAAAGTATCAAATGGAAACAGAAACAGAAGGTGGGTAATAGATATTATTATTCGATTAGACTTATTGGATAACTTTATCTAATAAAATGCTGAGGCTGCTAACCCACCTACTTAGCACTATGGACAATTTTCCCCCTAGGAGGCAAACTACGGGGAAACCTAATTTCTATTTTTGATAGACTGTAATGCATGGATTAATTAATGTGTCATGTGCATTCAAAATGTTATTATTTCTCAGATATGCAGGTTCTAGTTTAGTTCAGTTTTCTTTTCATTTAATATTTTTTACTTAAATTGTTGTTGTAATTAAAAATAAATCCACGGTGAGGATTGTGATGGCTCACCTACTTTGAAATCACGGCGAGCATTTAGCCCTTGGCCCAATGAACAGCCCTCAATGAACAAATAGTTAACAATTTAATTATTACCTGATGGTAAGTGGATTTGTGGTGTATTTATGTAGGGCTGTAATGATGATTCATCATTCATCATCATTACAGCCCTTCACAAGTCCACTGCTGAACATAGGCCTCCCCCAAAGAATGCCACAAAGCACGGTCCTGAGCCACCTGCATCCATCGACTTCCTGCATGTCTTACCAGGTCGTCACTCCATCTCGTGGGGGGACGCCCTACACTTCGCCTACCGGTACGAGGCTGCCACTCGAGAACCTTTCTTCCCCATCGGTTGTCGGTTCTTCGAGCTATATGGCCGGCCCACTGCCACTTCAGCTTACTAATTCGTTGGGCTATGTCGGTTATTCTGGTTCTACTGCTGATATCCTCATTCCTAAGTTTATCACGCAGAGAAACTCCGAGCATAGCCCTCTCCATAGCTCGCTGAGCGACCTTGAGCTTCCTCATACGGCCAGCAGTGAAGGACCACGTCTCAGTTCCGTAAGTCATCACTGGCAACATGCACTGGTTGTACAATTTCGTTTTAAGGTTTTGAGGTACGTCTGACGAGAATATGTGTCGTAGCTTCCCGAACGCTGCCCAGCCGAGTTGAATCCGTCGATTGACCTCTCGGTCGAAGTTGGACTTACCTAGTCGGACTATTTGTCCCAGGTAAACATACTCGTCAACAAATTCGAGCTTAGTGCTCCCAACAACTACCGGCATAGGTGTGACATGGACATTAAACATGATCTTTGTTTTGTCCATGTTCATCTTAAGACCTATCCGTCGAGAAACACTGTTGAGGTCATTGAGCATAGTGCTTAGGCCCTCCAGCGATTCTGCCATAAGGACTATATCGTCGGCAAATCGAAGGTGAGTGATGTACTCGCCATTGATGTTGATACCGTATCCTTTCCAGTCCAGAAGCTTGAAAACGTCTTCCAATGCAGCGGTGAAGAGTTTCGGGGATATGACGTCACCCTGTCTTACACCTCTCTGCAATTGGATAGGTTTCGTACTCTGGTTCTGTACTCAGATAGCCATCGTAGCCCTACTGTACAAGCACTTCAACACTTCGATATACCGACAGTCAACTTGGCACCGCTGAAGGGACTGCAGCACCGCCCAAATTTCGACGGAATCAAAGGCTTTCTCATAGTCCACATACGCCAGACATAGTGGCAAATTGTACTCTTCGGACTTCTGTACAACTTGCCGAAGGGTATGTATGTGGTCTATGGTGCTAAAGCCCTTTCGGAAACCGGCTTGTTCGGGAGGCTGGAAGTCGTCAAGTCTGTGCGCGAGACGATTCGTAATGACTCTCGAAAACAGCACGTAGACGCGGCTCAGAAGGGAAATCGGTCTGTAGTTCTTCAAGAGAGCGTTGTCACCTTTCTTGAAGAACAAGACCACCGCACTTCTGCTCCACGCCTCCGGTGTAATGCCACCATGGAGGACGGAATTAAAGAGCCTCTGAAGGACTTCAAGTACCGGTCTTCCACCCGCTTTCAGAAGCTCCGCTGTAATTCCATCCTCGCCTGGGGCCTTACCGTTTTTAAGGTGCTGGAGAGCCATTCTAATCTCGCTCAGACTGACGTCCGGGATATCTTCGGAATAGTGTCGGATGAGACTCGCTCTTGGATCGTTACTCACACTTGCGTGTGGCTCCAACGATGACGTGTACAGCTGCCCATAGAACCTCTCAATCTCACTCAAAATCTCAGGTGTCCCGGAAACGATGCTGCCACACTCGGTCTTCAGCTTTGACAGTTGGCTCTTTCTGGCAGACAGATCTCTGGCAAAGACTTTGGAGCCTTGGTTCCGCTCTATCGCTTCTTCAATACGAGCTGTATTGAAGTTGCGTAAGTCCCGCCGCATGCATTTGGAGATCTGTCTGTTCAGATGCCTGTATGCTGTCAAGTCTGTTGAAGAATGTAGCTTCATCTCCCGTCTAACAGCCATGAGATTAAGAGTGTGATCGGAGAGTTTTTGTGTTCTTCTGCGGCGGGTCTTGCAGAACTTAGCTCCGACCGCATGGACAGTTTCCACGAGCTTGTCATTCAAATCGTCCACTTCATTGCAGTCTTCTAGGCACTGAAAACGGTTTTGTAACTCGAGCTGAAAGGTTTCGGGACTTTGGATTAGAGCACGAGGGGGACGGAGCGTTGACTTCATTAGACGAGACCTCTCCAACTTAACGTTTAGGTTCAGTGTGCCTCTAACCATTCGGTGATCGCTACCAGTTTTCACCCTCGCGATCACGGAGACATCACTGAACAGTTGTCGTCTGGTCGTCATAATGAAGTCAATCTCATTTTTTGTCGAACCGTCGGGGCTCGACCAGGTCCACTTCCTGTGGGGCCGCTTCTGGAAGAAAGAGTTCATCATAAAGAGTCCCTCTTTCTCCATGAAGTCGGCCAGCTGCTGGCCCCTTGGGTTCCGTTGCCCTATTCCAAATTTCCCTACTTTCAGCTGACCGTTCTCTCTTGTGCCTAGTTTTGCATTGAAGTCTCCCATTAACACCGTATATTGGGTTTTGGAGGAATGCATGGCTCTAGAGATATCCTCATACATTTCCTCCACCTCCTGATCGGGGTGTGCCGAGGTTGGTGCATAAACCTGTATGACCTTCAGCGAATACCGTTTGGTGATTCTGAGTATAAGGTACGCAACCCTCGTCGACACACTCCCGATCTTTACAACGTTGTTAACGAGAGACTTGTGGACGATAAATCCGACACCTCCTTGGGACAGATGGTCGCCCTCCCGGTGATAGAGCAAGTTGCCGGATTCGAGGATTACCGTGTCCTCCCCCTCTCTTCGGACTTCGGATAATCCGATAATATGCCAGCGCAACTTGTCTATCTCTTCTTCCAGCTCCACGATCTTCTCGTCAGTCCTCAGGGTGCGTGCGTTGTACGTTGCCAGGTCGAGTCGTCTAAGGTGGCAACCGAACCTCCACCGGAGATTCTTAGCACCCCCTGCCCCGCCGTTACCATGGTCGCCACCGTAGCCAGGATTAGCGGGGCCGCCGGGGACTGGGGGCCGTCTGTTTGTTGCTTTAGTCATTGGGGGGTATTTGCCATAGTTGCCACGCTTGGCGAGCGGGTTGGCAACCGCAGTTTTTTTATTATAATTTTGGCTATTATCAGGGAGATGCTGCTGCCCATCTTCTGCCTGTTTCCCTTTGTCGCCTTTTACGACACCCACGGGAGGATATGGGGTAGTGGATATTCTTGACCGCCACTACACGGCACGGCATGTAATGATGATTGTAATTATTTATTTCTTGGAGAATCTTATAGTCTATTAATGAAAACGTCGTAGAGCCATGCTAAAGCTATGTTATGGATGTAGCACGAATGGGCAGCTCGAAGCAGAACCATGCTCTCTAATAATACCGGCGTTAGATAGCAGCTTCATTCTGCTATGTTTCATATGGTGAGTGTAGAGAATCGTTTTACTAGAAACGAGGCATTCAATCTTAGTCCTCAGGGGTGACTACGCATCTACATTTTGATACTTAATTGAGGATAGATATAGATATCTATAGGCCACAGCATCGTTAACTGTGTGCTTGCTTGTCACCCTTATTCTATAAAACATTTAATAAAATTAAAAAAAATTATATGAGACCACATGAAAAGTACCAGCTTTCAAAAAAAAGTATCATCAAAATCGGTTCACCTAAAAAAAAGTACTAAAGCAACATACAAAAAAATACAGTTGAAGTGAGTTAAAAAACCTATTCATGCTGTTTAAATAAAACGTTCTTATGCATTTTACTCATAAAAATTAGCTACGAGGTTAACACTAAAAACTTACAGTGATCAGAGCATTATGAAAGGCTTTTACTCCGATTCAGTAACTCATAAAGGCGAATTTCCTTTGGATATCGTTCCTTTATTAAATTAATAACATTAAAAGCTTACCCGATATAAAAGGGCTCGCACTAAATTGTTGTTTAAAGACAACGGGAAAATTTATGTAGGCTTGAAGGAAACATCCTCACCACAATTACAAAGATATTCTTGTGTCAAAAGTGTTCATACGAATAAAAAATATTTTTTTATAAAATATGAGTATGAATAAAATTTTTGTCTGTCAGTCAGATATTTGTCAGACACCTTGTCGGAGAGCAGTCTGTCCATCCGGGTGAATGAGCTAATCTTCGGGTGGCTGAACCAATTGTTATAAAACTTGACAAATAGAAGGAGTGGTTTAGAGTACATTTTATCCGAAAAACTTTGTAGTGTAGGTACTATAACGAAGCAATTTAAGTAGAATATTGAACGATATCCTCCATATATGGAGTCCATGTGTCTTCATGAAACGTAGATAATATTTAATTAGTTCAGTAATATCATATTATATTTATAGAAGAAGACACCATTCAAGTGTCTCTACCTGGAACCACGTAACACAAACCCTACCTATGTACCTACATCATAGTTACTATATAATATATAAGTTTCCTTAAATTCAATAGAGAGAGAGAGAGAGTTGTTCAACTGCATCAGTGAGTTTAATTTCTTGCCTTGATCCCCACATTGCAACTTGATAACTTACTATACTTTTACTAGTGATACTTTTTTTTTGAGAAGTCGATAAATTTATAAAATAAATGACCTTAGATGATTATCTTAAATCTAAATGAAGCCTCATTAATAGATTTTACCTAGGCGAAGTCGAACCAGGTCGTTAGTATGCAATATTGCCATTTCCTGGAAATCGAATAGAGTAGTAATTTAAATTTATCACAAATAGAATATTGCTCTAAAGAAAATGTCACTGAACACCAGGACAAAAGGCTGTTAAAATGCTTCACTTATCTCCGATGTAATTAGCTGAGAATACAACGGCATTGAATGGCCAGGTCGACGGCGTTCACATGAAGAACAAGGGGACAAAGTGACGCTTATCAGAATTATATCCATTCCCATTCAAGCTCGCTGAAAGCTGGGTGCCCGTTGGGCCTTTGTGTGGCACAAGTGATGTAATTCAGCGTTTCTTAGAAGTTAAATTAACTTGACTTATCAACTTACCCTTTGATTTCGTAATGAGATATCGGAAACAGATATTTCCCTATGTGTTACATCATCCATCAACCGTCAGGTGGCCTACGAGTTCACTGTCACCTTTCTTTTTTATAATTAATCTGTAGAAGTCCACTGATGGAGATGAGCTTATCCCGTTGTGGGGGAGGATTTATCACTTTTACCCTTTTTATAGAATAAGAGTGTCAAGCGAGCTCGAAGTACAACTGACGGTAAGCGGATGCCGTGGCCCAAAGGCATTTACATCTACCCTTAAGTCAAAAAACAAAATGTAAATGCGTTGTTGCCGCTGAGGACTAAGAAAGAAGGCTTCGTTACCAGTAAGCCGGTCTCCGGTTACCTATTTATTTTTATTTGTTTTTTTACCTATTTATTTATCAAGTTCACTTACAATATGACATTATCACAAAAACATACACACTTTTAATTTTTCTAATATGCAGATGATTAACAAGTGTGCATAATGGTTTTTGAGATATATTTAAATAATATTCCGATCTTAACCACTAAGTCACTGAATTCTGCCGTCGCCGAATCATTACTTAAACAAAATGTAAATGCGTGTACAGAGAATTTTTAATTTCATAAAATATCTTCAAAAGATATTTTGAAATATTTTAACACTATTTATATAACAAAACTGCGGATCTGTGGGGGATTTCCGTTAAAGTTATTGTGTCTATAATAGATATAATCGTGCCTCATCTAGCTATTATTATTAATACTAGTATCGAATATGGTATGTTTCCTGATTAAATGAAACATAGTAAAGTAATACCTTTATTCATATCTGGTAGTACATTAGACCCCGCCAATTTTAGATTCATTTCTGTACTGCCAACATCTGGTCGGTTTTTGAAAAAGTTATAATTGATCAAATGTTAATTTTTTTTATGTAAATAGTTTACTTCATAAAAATATATTCGGTTTTACAAGGGGTTGCTCGATAAGTTGCTAGATACTCACCAGCTTTGAGCTGATTAAATATATTTTCAATGCATGCGAGAATTCACAGGAAGCTTTGGGTATATTTTGTGATTTATCCAAAGCCTTCGATAGTGTACACCATGAAACATTAATCAGGAAACTATAACACTACGGTGTAAGAAGTAATGCTCTTTAATTAATTGTTTCTTATTTAAGTAACAGGACGCAAAAGGTTATCACTATTAGGAACAGGTCGTCCGGGTTGATAGTACAAATGGGCGTGCCTCAAGGCTCAATTCTAGCCCCCTATCTGTTTCTTGTATTTATTAATGACTTACCTTACATAGGAGGGGATAACCATAATATAGTATTATTTGCTGATGACTTTTATAATATTCATAATTTTTTTATTTTCAATTAATTTTCAAATTAAAATGACAATTAATAAAATATGACGAAGTAAATAAAGCAATATCTAAATTAGTAAATTGTTTTGATGTTATGTCATTAAAACAGCACTAAAACGAAATGTTTAAAATTTATGACCCTAAATGTCAAACAATTAATACTTATGTAATTTTAAATGGGGAGGAACTGATTCTTGTCGAAACCACCATTATTCTTGGAATAACACTAGACGCAAAGCTTTAGTGGAGCCCCCATATATCAAAATTAGCAAGCAGACTTAGTTCTTGAGCATATGCTGTAAAAAATATTAGAAATCTAACCCGTGTGGAAACAGCTAAACTTGTTTACTTTAGCTATTTCCACAGCATAATTAAGGACACGCGACTGACACTGAAATTATATTTGTTTTACTTTAAGTAAATTATGTGCCTAAATATGCAAAAAAATCTAATGGAAAAAAATAAGGTTTGGGAAATAAAATGGTAGATATTTTACTCTCTTCAGAAGTTTGCACATTTTTAATTGAAGTATAAAATAGATTTTATACATAATTTAATTTTTAACAGGAACTAGACGATAAATGTTTCATCATTCATCATCATTACAGCCCTTCAGAAGTCTACTGCTGAACATAGGCCTCCTCCAAGTAATACCACATAGCTCGGTTCCGACTCACTTGCATCCATCGACTTCCTGCATGTGTTACCAGATCGTCACTTCATGTAGCGGGGGGACGCCCTACACTTCGCCTGCCGGTACGAGGCTGCCACTCGAGAACCTTTCTTCCCCATCGGCTGTCTGTGTCAGTATGTCCGGCCCATTGCCACTTCAGCATACTAATTCTTTGGGCTATGTTGGTTACTCTGGTTCTACTGTAGATATCCTCATTTTTAAGTCTATCACACAGAGAAACACCGAGCATAACCCTCTCCATAGCTCGCTGAGCGACTTTGAGCTTCCTTATACGGCCAGCAGTAAAGGACAACGTCTCAGTTCCATAGGTCATCACTGGCAACGCGCACTGGTTAAATAACCTAATAACCTAGGTTTTGAGGTATGTCTTACGAAAAGATGTGTCGTAATCTCACGAACACTGCCCAGCCGAGTTGAATCCGTCGATTGACCTCTCGGTCGAAGTTGGACTTACGTAGTCGGACTATTTGTCCCGGATAAACATATTCGTCGAAAACTCCCAGCTTAATGCTCCCAACAACTACCGGCATAGGTGTGATATGGACGTTAAACATGATTTTTATTTTGTCATGGACAATTCATCTTAAGACCTATCCGTTGGGAGACACTATTGAGGTCTTTGAATATAGTGCTTATGTCCTCCAGCGATTCTGCCATAAAGACTATATCGTCGGCAAATCGAAGGTAAGTAATGTACTCGCCATTACCGTTAAGACCGTATTCTTTCCAGTCCAGTAGCTTGAAAACGTCTTATAATGCAGCGGTGAAGAGTTTCGGGGATATAACGTCACCCTGTCTTACAACTCTCTGCCGTTGGATAAATTTCGTGCTCTTGTTTTGTACTCCGATAGCCATTGTAGCCCTACTGTACAAATACTTCCGCACTTCGATATTCTGACAGTCCACTTGGCATCGCTGAAGGAACTGCAGCACCGCCCAAATTTCGACGGAAGCAAAGGCTTTCTCATAGTCCACATACGCATG